GATAAATAAAAGGTCTCCCCCCCCCCCCACACACGCTATCAGTAGGGTCCACATACTGCTTCATATTGTTTTTGTCTTATATCACACTCAGTGTAAAGAACTAACTAAAGAAGTTGGGGAGGGGGGGGGGTTAAATCACTAATTTTCTGTGTAAAAACTACAAGGGATCCCACTGATAATTACTAGGATTAATCTTAAAATTGATATGTTTTGGTTGTTTTTTTATGTTATTGTGTTATTCATATTGGAGTCCCTGTAACCATGAGCAAAGTCATGGCCCACAAAAATAAATAAACTTGATGTATAAATAGTTTAGAAAAACATTTTTTTTTAAATAATGGAGTTCAAATAGATGGACCCCATTGATGATTCTAGGGTTTAATAATACAGCCCCATTTAGCCAAATACTCCAGTGGATCAGTGGTAAGTTTTAAGGACTTACAATGCTAAAATCTGGGGTTCAATTCTGCATAGTGGAAAGAGCACCGATAGCCTATTGTGGCTTTGCAATAAATTAAATACATAATTAACCAAGGTTGTCCAAGACTCAAATACAATGTTTATATAAGCATTATTTTATTTTGTAATTACTCTCAAACTTTGTTATTCTCAGATTACTGGTAGACTCATCATATTGTTTGTTATGATTGATGCTGAACCAAGGATGCAGACTAAACCAGTGGTGTTCTACCTATTCTTAGTTTATTCATTGATTGAAGTTGTAAGGTGAGTTGTAACTTTAGTTCTATTGATTTGTTTGGTAAGTTTGAGCTGTTTATTTGATTAAAAGTGTAATTTTTACACATCCTGGTTTAATAGATGGATTTATGTTTAGATTAAACAATATTAAACTATGTACAAAATACCACTTATACGTAGAGAATGATTTCAAATTGGACTGTCTTTTGATAAGTTTTAGACAAAAGTTTATTCACAGTTATGATTTAGCTCCACATGCAACCTGTTCTTGTAAGTAAACTCTTATATGTGTGTCTGTGTGTGTGATTTGTTTTAAGTATTCAAGTTTCCTATTAGTAGACTGATTAATTTTTTACTTAGATTTAATTATTTTGTTTTTGTTAGATATATATTTAAGGTTCTAAGACAGTAGACCAAAATATTTGTTTCAGAAACATGCTTCTAGAAGTACATGAAAACAGCTCATTTGTTGCCATTGACACAATTTATATTGGTGTGTACAGATTTTAATTTTCTTTATCTCAAACTTCACAATTTAATTCTTGTAAACATCTGTTTTCTAATGAATTATTTATAACGAATTTGAGCTAATTTGATGGTAATTAGTATACAAAATTACCTTAACCCTTTCACTGCACAATTAATTTTCAGGCTGATTCCCAAAAATTTCCAATTATCCACTGAAAAATAAAAGTATTAATTTGACCCTTTGTATTACTTTTTCAATATTGAAAGAAGCCGTAATTTATATATCTGACAGTAATATTCCTTGAAAAATAATGATTTAAACAAAAAATTGAAGAAAATTAGAAGAAAAGCGTTCTCCAATAAATGGCATAAATATCGGCAAAACTAAGTCAATAAAAGGCCAAAATCATTATCAAATATAAAACAAATTGTTTAGATAACAATATCCAAGATATATAGAAGCTGTCTTTATATAGATTATATATGTGTTCCTGCAAAGTTGGCAATTTTGTAATGACGCATATAATAGAACACAGATGGCAGCACTCATGTAGGTTTAGTGATTGTTTCAAGTACAGGGTTTGGTGTATGTTCCAGTTGAGCCATGGTAAATCCAAATTTCACAGTCACTGGATATAGATGTTTATTTGGATATATATGCAGCAAAAGGGTTAATATATTAATACTCACTAATATAAAAAAATTAATGGTTTTTCCTCCCATTAGAAGTGCAGTAATAAGTTTATATACATCTTGATTGGATTTATCAGTTGTGGTAAATTAATCTCTGTATAGTTTATTTGTGTAGTGATGAAAACTGTGTACTATGTCACATTGCAGTTCTTGTATATTTTAAATGTTTAAAAATCCAATTTAAAATATGGGTGTTTTAAAAGGGAGCATAATTATTAAAACTCTGATTTCCTGAGTCTTGGTTAATTGTTAATGTTTGGTAACTGTGATTAGTTAAAAAATGTTTCTGGTTTCATTGGTCTTGGTTAATGTTTGATAAAGGTGTTTTGTAAAAAAAAAAAAAATTCTAGTATTCCTTTTCTGCTTTTTTGATACTTTTAAGATCAGATTATTATGTACATTGCTGCAAGTTGGTGGTAAACTAGATATTTCTATTTCTGGTGCAGGTACCCATACTATATGTTGAAAATCTATGATATCAACATTAGTTTTATAACATGGCTGAGATATACTATATGGATACCTTTGTACCCTCTAGGGTTTGTATGTGAAGGTAAGTAAAACTGAAAAATTTACAGAATATGTGTCCACATGAAATAAATCATAACACTAGTACTTATGCTTTATAAAAGCCGAATTTTGTTTTACAAAAGAATGCACTGATAAGTATGGTATTATGAAATAAGTTCGTACATTAATTCTGTTCTTGTTCATTTCCACCCTGTGTGACATCCTTTTTTTAGAGTAAGCAACTTAAATTACACTTATACCAGATTTTGAAAGAATGATTTTATATTTTTAAGCAAAAAAGTTTATAAAATTGTTGATTAGCCAAAAGGAACCAGATGATAAAAATTAAATTTGTCTGTCAATTTTTTTTTGGTTAGAAACTAGGATATCATTTCATATTTATTGTTAAAACGATTGATTAATTTCTACAAGTATAAACATTATGTACATCAGGATTAAAGATAACTTGATTTTATGCTAAAACAACAAGTACATGCTATTCAGCTTCCAAACATAACCATAAACATCATATGTTACAAGCCTAAAAATCTGCATATACTACATTCTACCTGAAAATCAGTGTAATTTCTTAAATTAATTCTATTGGAATTGAAAATTATAATAAAAGATTGTGTGTATTTTACAAGGATGTGCAACAGTTCACCTCAATATAGCACATATGAAGATTAATTATGTGTAGTTATATATAACTCCCTGGACAATCAAGTTATTCAGACTTGTTGAAGGGTATCAAGAATTGCATAAGTAGGCTTGATTTTAAATTTTCACACAATAGGCTTGTGCGTTTGAAAATGTTTAGATAAACAACAAAAGCTTGTATATAATTTTTGTTGATGGTGGAATATGAATTACTTAAATAAAATAAGTAAGTTACTGTTTCTTTTTTTCTTTATGTTGTATGTTTTAAACCTAACTGATCCAAAAGTTTTATTTATATTATTAACTTTACACTCTAGTTTTACACAATTCATTTTCTTGTTCTTTTTAGTGATTTAAATACAGTTAAAATAAAACTTTTTCATTTCACTGTCCTAGAAGGTAGCTGTGTCCATTGTTCATACAAGGTTCACTTTACCATGTAATAACTTAAAATTGGTTGGGGCCCGGCATGGCCAGGTGGTTAGGGTGCTCAACTCGCAATTAGAGCTATTAAGATTTTGTGAGTACTAGTTATAATTTTGTGAAGTTGGTTAACCTGTAATAAAGTCCATGGATTTCTAGGTATGATGTTAACTTCTTGCTTTTTCATGGTATCTTGTTCACACACATGTAATTTCTCCATAAAACATTTATAATTTTTTTAAGATTATGTTTTAGTGGTTTTCACTATTTCTCCTTTTTTGTTTTTAATCAAAACATTGTTGAATTCTTAGTAAAGCTGATTATAATTTTAATATACACTATTGAGATTATAGTAGATGTCAATGTAGTGAACAATTTGAGTGCTTCTCATTCTCACAGTAATCGTTATTCATCTAGGTGTCATCATTCTCCGAAATATTCCTTATTTTGAGGAAACTGGAAAGTTTAGTGTGAATTTGCCAAACCCATGGAATGTTTCCTTTTCTTTCCCAACAGTGATGAGAGTCTATCTTCTTATAGGGTTTTTTCCAAGTAAGTGTTTCTGAAGTTTGATTTTAACAGAATCGTACATCCTCGTTAAACTTGAAACATATTTTCTTTTATGCTCTGAGAATGCGTAGATAATTTAGTGACATGTTTAAATTGATATAGAAAATATAATTTTCATTTTGTACTCTCTAAAAATATGTAAATAGTTTAGAGAGAGATTTTCTTTGAAAACGTATTCTTATCCCAAGAAGTAATAACGTGGTAAATATCTTGTTCTTATTAACTACGTAAGTTTGTGTAGTTTATATCCCATACTGTTGTCCTGTGCTTGCTGCTTATTAAAAACAAGATGTTACATCAATTTTCACACTCATTAACTTTTTATGTGCAAATTCACAAATTTTAACCTTGGGAATGAAGAAAATTGCTTTATAGTGAATCTTGGGTAAGCAAACTAAAATTACCTTAACATTCCTTTTTTCATCCTCATAACCATTGTATAGTTTTCAGTAAAATTGATATATTTGATTTGACTCAACAACATCCATACTGTTTACTGTGGGGTTGCTTGCAGAAATTATCCCATTTTACAAAATTCACCATGCAGTAATTTGACTTAGGTGTGATGCCATTTATATTCAAAATCATTATTAAAGTTGACAAGTAATAAATGAGAACATAAATTTTAATTTTCTTACATTTTTGTGGAGACCCAATTTTTCCCTTGTGTAGAGTTAACCCATTGAATGCTGATTCCCCGCATAGCGTACGGTCCACCTCCAGCATTTGAATGTGAGTGTGCCATATACTGTGTACGGCTTGCAAAAATTCTATGCATGTTTAGAGTAGCCACAGTCAATGGGTTAAAGGACTCCATTTTCCCAAGAGGTTTAGGCTTCAGGGACCCAAGTGCTAACATAAACAATGTACATATTAACTAGAACATCTTCTTTAAAGCATTTAATAAAAATGAATCATAAATGGTTCCTAAAAAAACAGAAATTTGATTCAGTTAACATGATTTTTCAACATGTTATCGGTTTCTAACTGTGTAAGCAACAGCATATTACTGAAAAAAAAGATTTTTACACAAAATTAATTCTTGTATTAAACCATTGTTAACCAAGCCATCAGTCTTTATTGGAGTCCATTCTTTGGCCTTCTGTTTTACATGAAGAATTTTGTTCTGCTTATAATTTAACATCAATCAATATTGTGGTTTATATTTGTCACAGTCTTTCTCAGTCTTTTATATGTACTTATTTTGTTGCTTATTCCAAAAATACTATTTGTGTGTGTGTCATTGCAAGAAATGTGTAGGGTCTTTGTTTTCTGTTTTTAAACCCATAGGTTTTTTTATTAATTATTCCAAGAGTATTGTATCTCACATTGAAGTCATTTAATCTTGTGTTTTTTTAACATTTCTATTTGTCTTTAAACATTTGTGTTTCTTGCCAATTCTCTTGTTTTAAACGTTTTTTTTTTATCCCACCATTAGTAATAATACATGGACATTACACGTGTAATTCTGTGCTTTTTACATTTTCAGTGTTGTTTTACATGATGACTCATATGTACCGACAAAGAGTAAAGATCATTGGACCCAAAAGTTGGAAGACGAAGAAAGAGTAACAGTGTCGAGGTGCTCACATAAGATTTTGAGTTGAACAAGAAGAATATGCATATGTAATCATTTTATATCAGCTGTTCTCAGTAATGTCTATTTCATTTAATCACAAGCCAGCTTTGATATTGTAAACATGATTTTGAAATTCTGCTTGTGACTAATTCGGGGCGGTATTGAATATTTGGAAAAAAACTTCTTGTCCAATAGAGAAAATTCCAGTGAAATCTACTTGTCATTCTTAAGGATACTTGCTCCCTTCCTGGTCTACAAAATATGTAGAACATAACTTTTAGTATTTTATTTTTACTTAACAGTGAACAATGAAAAAATAGATCTGTTAATTTACATATTAAGTAAGCAAGATAAAATGCACTTATTACCCCATTATGTGCATAGTATCTACATTAAATGCCTTGTTTTGAATACATGGGATAAATGTACCATATACATATGCAAGGTGATGTTTGAAAGTTAGTCATATGACAATACGTACATATTTTCATTTTAAAGTGTCTGATTCATAAGATGCAAAACACTGAAAGATGGATTTTTTTTATATTCTCTGTCTGTTACCAGCTGTTAGATTTTGTTACCGTGCAAAATAAATAAACATGATGTATGTGAGTATTAATGATCGTATGTGAATTACACACACACACACATACATGCATGTATGAAGAGCTTAGGTGCAAAATGCTGTATATCCTATATTGCTGTTTGGGGAAAATAATTTCTTTTCTACAGCTTTCATAAAGTATACCATGAAATCAAGAATTAGATATTTATTAAATAAAGCCATAACTATTAGAAATGTTACAAAATCTATTTATTTCTGGATAAAACTCATTATCTATAAAATGCCAGGTGCATCAAGTCAAGGCTTGGCACTACATGGTGATTAGGGAGTCGAGTCAATCAACAAAGACAAAGTTTTTTCTATAATTTTATTTAATTCAAAGGTGTAATTTCTTTCCTTGGGCAGGATGCTACCATCCAGATGCAATGGGGTTATGTACTTACAGTGATGTAAGTATGCCCCTGCAATTGTGAGGAGGCCTTAGCCCAGAAGGGCCTGACAAACTTAAGAAATACTGATAAGGGGTATAGATTTAATGGGCCAATTATTTTTTATGGGGGGGGCATCTTTTATAGTTGCACCACTGTATCTGTGAGTCTTTTTAGTCAAAATATTGCATATACATCAATATAAAGCCATTGGCAGCTTAATTTTGTTGAGAATAGAAAATACCTTGTCTTTCATATAAGTTCTTCATATGTATTCTTTATGGTTTCTAGTCTTTAGTATTTTAGCATGTAGATTACCCCACCCACAAGCTGATGAAGAAGTCCTGGTTTATATTAATGCTGGTGTATAAAACAGTTCAAAGCTTTTTGTAATTTCCGTGATGTTATATATTCTTCCTAGAACTGGCAGTGAAACTTTACTGGGCTCCTGCTGTAGACAAGAACAGTGTAATAATATTGTTGCATTGATATAAATATGTTTGTTACTATGTGTGTGACTGAGGGTTAGTGAAGTAAAGGGATGTGTATATTTGTTTATGTAGTTTTGATTTGAAGGTACTCATTTTCAATTGTTCCTCTATACGTGCTAGACTTGTGCAGTTCAGAATTTTCAGGAACTTGCACAGTGCCCTCAAGTGTTTTGCTAACAATAGAATGAACAGTGTGAAAATAAAACTTGCTTGTTTTGTTTAACAATACAGGGTAATGGTAAATCTCGGGCATTATTAATTTCACACCCCTGCCAAATTGGTTAGCCGGGTAACTTGCAAATCTAAAGAATCCTAGTGAGAAGCACACTTCTTTTACTGTTTTCATAGTCAGTCTGTGTGACTGTTAGACTGTTTATAGAAACTGTCCAAGTAATGTAACAAATGCTGTATTTTAAAAAGTTATTAAGTTATTATCTTATACACTAGTTTTTGAATACCTTGTTTGAAATGCACATTCTTTCGTACAATGAGTTTAGCAGAAATTTCCATATACAAGGTGAACCTTTCTAGCATAACTTTTTATCACGTGTTTATAATACAATAACATATTTGGACTGATAATGTACCCTAAATATTGGTAAGCTTCTCAAAGTCAATTTATGTGATGTAAGTTACAAACACAATATATACTTATGACAAGTACAAAAATAAAGATTTAAATATTATTATGTACAAAGAAACTAATCAGCAATATTGTTTATTATGTCAACCTTCTAAGTTGTAAGCATGGTACGAGGGTTGTCATTCCAGCTGTTGATTGTCTGAAGGCCAATAAGATGATGTGGTTTTTCCTTGGGTTAATAGATTTCCGTGTTTTGGCTTTGTATAAACCCGTGGAGTAAGAAATTATTTTCCAAGACCATAAAAAGTATACCCCTAGCATCAAGATGTGCCGATTATAAAAACTGTGTGGTTGTATACTGATGTAAAATATGCTGAGACTACAAGTTACATCAAGATGTAAAGCAGCATCTGGTTTCTGTATTTTATTATGAAGCAGTCATCATGCCTCTCTTAAGAACAACAAAATTTCTGGAAAGAAACCAAAATGATGGTTGTCAGATGTTCAGAATTATTACTTAAAAACATTTACATATCTGTTAAAAACAAGTTTTAATAGGAATGATTAGTGAAAATCATGACTGTGAAAGTTGGATTAAGTATCCATTTAGGGTGTAAAAAAACAAAATACTTGAACTCTGTTTTGGCCACTCCTAAACTGTCATATGAACAACAATAAAAATCAAATCTTAAGCTATTGTTAAGAGTAACAGGTATGCACTTTAATAACAGAAATTTCAGTATTATGAATAAATTTAGTTAGATCATAATTCTGTACACCCATATATAACTCTACAACATTCAGAAGCTGATTTGTATAAAGACGTCATCATGTCAATAACATTAGTTATATTGTCTCATTTTTCTTTTCAGGTAAATTTTAGTGCTTTGATACAAATTTCCTAAGTAGTGAAATAATTAGTTTTTTAGATATATTACAATTATCTTTTGTAGGAAATTAAATTTATGTTTATTCATGTAGACATATAATAATGACCTGAAACTCCTTTAAATAGCAACAAAAGAAAAACAGAATATTTAGACATCAAAGAAAGCAGACAAGAATGATACCTAAGACCAACCAATATAATTTGTTAATGGATATGTAAGAATTAAGGGTACATCTGTAATTTAAAACTTTTTTTATGATAGTACAAGCCTTTTTGTTGTTGTTTTCACCAAAATCACAGTAATTTTCCATCTGATATTCACAAACTATAAAATTACCACCAATAGAATTCACAAACATGAGCAAAGAAAAACTTTGGAAGTAAGTACATACTGTAAAACTTTAATTATGATGAAGAACAGTAACACTAATTTAAAAAAAAAATATCTAAAACCTCTCTTCTTTTTTTTTTTCAGGTCAAAATATAATTTAAATTGGTTAGTTCATTGCCTATCATATATTCTGTACACTTTTTCTCAACTTAGAGGGCTAGTTTCCCCAAAAGGGGGCCAAAGACCACCTGGATGAGGTCACCTGTTTTAACCATTTGCACAACTATACAGTAGTGTGTTTGTTCTCTGTCAGTCGGTCAGTGGACACTAAAATGACATCACATAAGGGATGCTTAACATTGCAATTTGTACTGTTGTGACATCAGTAAAACATGCGCATGCCATGAATCATGAGAAGAATTATGCACTCTGTTGGCTACAACACAGCATGATATATGAATTTCAAAAGCAAGAAATAAAAAATATTTGTAACACTTAGGTTTGATTTTATTTACTCTTGAAATAGAAAACTTTCATGGACCCTGTGGAAATAATTTAGTATTATTTTAATACTTAAAATGCTGATAAATATTCAAGTGCATTCAAAAGCTATTACACTTACGAACACAAAACATATATTGAAATGCTGTGTGCAGGTTATTTCAGTATTTTTTTCATCACCACAATTTAATATTAAATTTAATATTCGTAGAGGTTGTGAAAAATTGTATGTATATTAAGTGTCAAAAATTTCAATTTTTAAGTTAATTCATTATTTATTAACATACTGTATAATTTGGAGAATCAACAAAGTAAACTAATACTCAAGAAAAATGTCCTGGAATACTCCTTTAAGTAAGATAATAACAGTGTCTGAGTCTGCTTCAATATTTTTAAGGCAGGAGGGATAACATTCATAAGAGATGTAATTGAAATCTTTTTTCTTAAAGTATCGGTAAGAAATGTGAAAATTATATACATTTAAGCCTTTAAATTTGTCATTTTGTCTTGAAATAACTGAAATGGGCTACAACTGTGTTGATGAAAAGCCCTGTCTGTTTCAGTATTGTAGCTCAAGTGAAGAATTGATATGATTCTTTGGATCAATAGATAGTATGTCAACAATACAGTGGTATTTTAATCTCCTGCATACCTTATTCTAAATGTTATTGAGATGATTTGGGATTATGTACTTGCATGGGATGTTTCACCCAATTTAATCCTGGTATTGGTAAACTGAACCTCAGACTTTTGCAAAAGTTTCTTTGAACTAATTTAAATTTAAACTTTGTTGATGTGTTTTTTCATGGAACTGCATATTTTTTATCAGGAGAAAGGGTATTAAGAATAAACTCACCGTGAGTGATGTCGACTTTAAGAACATAAGACCTACAAAGTATAAAACTAAAACCAAACTGGTGTGCCAGAAATTATAGAAGACAGAAATAGTTTAACAAAAATTAAAATGTGACAAAAAATAATATATGAACATTTTATATTAAAGAGTAATAATATGTTTGGATAAAAACCATTGTTTAAATCATATGCCGTTATAATAATTGTTCTTTTCTTTTAGTCAAAGTTGAAAAAAAGAACTTGGAATTCTGAAAGTTTTTTTTAATTTATGCAGTTTTGATTGGAATGATAAACTTTTTCATGCAGTCATTAATTAAATGTGTTGTTTGCAATCTTCTTCACCATAGCTGGTTGTACATGAAATTTTTTCCATCTTTGAAAATATAAACAGTAACATTGGTATTTTTATTAACCAGGAAGTTTAAGAAAGAACGGAACACTAGGCTTAGTTTCATTAGCTTGGTGTTGGTGGTACTGTCATGTGCTTGCAATAAGTCTTAAAAAAAAAAAGTAAATTTATACACAAATGCATAATTCATACATTTGTAATTCTAACTTTCAGTAAAGTTTTTATGCAGAGCAGTCAGTGTATCCAACTGTTTTTTGTTGTTTTATTTTATCAAGACATGAAATTCTCACCTTTATCTATTTATATATATATATATATGTTCTTTTCTATCTTGTTTCATAATGTAACCATTCTTACATTAACTTTGTTTTAAGGAAAGCTAACAATTTCCTAATTCAAATTATGAACATCAAACTTGGATACTGTTTTTATCACAGTATTTTAGGGCATTTGACTAAAACAACAAAACTATTGTTTGCCTATGAATTAATTTCCCTGGAGTTTATCATAAAATCTCTCCCACAAAGTCCTTATGAAGATAGTACTACAGTCTGTAGTTAACAGATTCTGTGTTAAGTTTTTCTAATTGAAAAGGTAAGAACCTTTTAGCTAATAAAGCTTGAATTGTACATCAAACAGATCTATGCTCTCTTCAAGTAAAGTGTTTCCTGTTTTCATTTATCACATATCTAAGAATGATAATGTGAAATAAGAGGCAACAGTTTTTTGTTTGAATAAGAAAAACTGGTAGCAGTAATGAGTTTTCGCTATCCTATTAGTGATAAGATTTAGTCAGAGAAAACTTATCAAGTTATTGTTTAACATGATTTTGTAAGTATATTTTATGAGTGTAATAAATTCATATACTTGAAACATCATTCCGTTATAGTTTATACTATACAAAATGATGGTTAATAAACAAACAACGGGAATCTTATTGTAGTGCATTTTGTTTGATTATTTAATTAAAGGAACCAAGTTTTTGTTGTTCATTATTTCAGTCTAATTTTATCAGTTCTCACACACTTACAAACAAACTCCTGTTATTTCTTTTGTGTAGTTTGTTTGTAATTAGGCACAAAACTACACAATGGACTATCTGTGATCTGCCCACCACGGGTATCGAAACCCGGATTCTAACGTTGTAAGTCTGCAGACATACCGCTGTGACACTGGGGGGCCTTTAGTGTAGTATACACTGTATTCATGGGAATCTCGTGAGAAAATACCAACCTCTTCTTTTTTTTCCAGTAAACTAGCAGCCTACCCTATTTTCCCGAATATAATGCGCACCCAACTTTGAAAGATTAAATTGAAGAAATATTTTTTTACGCATCAATTGTACAAAATGTATTGAATAGTTTCTAAGTACAGTAAACAACTATCGGTGTATTAAACATTTTTGGAAATCTTTCATTGGAGTTTTTTTTTGCGTGTCAATTTTACAAAATTTATTAAAACGTTTATACATGGTAATATACTAAGATAATCATTCATCTTCACATAAATTGTCGCTACTATCGGCCAGGTGGTTAGGGCGCTCGACTCGCAATCTGCGGGTTCGAATCCCCATCACACCAAACATGCTCGCCCTTTCACCCGTGGGGGGCATTATAATGTGACGGTCAATCCCACTATTAGTCGGTAAAAGAGTTGGCAGTGGGTGGTGATGACTAGCTGCCTTCCCTCTAGTTTTACACTACTAAATTAGGAAGGGTTAGCGCAGATAGCCCTCGTATAGCTTTGCGCAAAATTCAAAAACAAACAATCCTTGAACCTTTTCTGGTTGCCACATCATGTCATCATCCATTGCATTGGACTTTTTGAAACCTTTAATGATTTACGGTGGTAGCTTTCAGTAACATACCTAACAAAATTGAACGTGCGCGAATACAATGCGCAGTCAATTTTTCGGGGGTATTTGGAGGGAAAAAAGTGCGCATTATATTCAGACAAATATGGTATTTCTAATACTGGTAATGATGGCATTTTTCTATAATTTTTTTATTCGTATGTACACACACACACATGTGTAAAGAAAGAAAGATAGATCGAGAATTTAAAAAATAATCTACATTATTGTATTTTATCAACTTTGGAAGATAGGACAGTTGTGTAACCAGAACCAATAACAATTTTTATTTTAACCTACGTCATTTACATATTTGATTTTCGTATGAACTTGAGGTCATCTACAGAAAGTAGCCTGTGTAACTTAACTGTTTAAAATTATATTATCAGAGAAAAAATTTTTGCCATGGATGAACTGTACTTTGGTTTAATATGTACACTATTAAAATTTTGGTTTGTTGAAGTTTGGTCTCACTCATTTAGAAGTCTATTCACTTGCTTCTTCTTTTTTTTTCTCTTCAGAGACATATATATATATGTTTAACATATAAAGTCTTGGTCCATTGTTAATATAACTGTGACCATTTAAAGTCTTGGTCCATTTTTGATATAACTGTGACCATCTAAAGTTTTGGTCCATTATTAACTTAACTGTGACCACCTAAAGTCTTGGTCCATTATTAACATAACTGTGACCATCTAAAGTCTTGGTCCATTGTTAATATAACTGTGACCATCTAAAGTCTTGGTCCATTATTAACATAACTGTGACCACCTAAAGTCTTGGTCCAGTGTGAGCATAACTGTGACCATCTAAAGTCTTAGTCCATTGTTAATATAACTGTG